AGGAAGCTCCCATGGTTGAGAAATTTTGGATACCTCAGATATGACACTTTCATCATTACAGAAAGTTCTATCGGATGTGGTTAAGCTAAACAAAAAGAGGGCTGGAACCAGCACTCCCCTGAAATTCTGCCCCAAATTTGGACACAAGAGTCAAGACACACAATAATCATATAACTTTGGAAACGTTATGTGTATTGAAGTCTTAAGGCTGCTGTAACAAATTATTACAAACTTGATGGGTTAAGACAACACATATTTATTATTTTACAGTTCTGGTGGCCAGAGTCCAAGGTGGGTTTCTCTGAGTTAAAATCAAGGTGTTGGCAGGACTGCGTTCCTTTCAGAGGATCCAGGGTAGAGTTATTTTTTTGCCTTTTCCAGCTTCTAGAATTCACCCCCTTCCAGCTTCAAGGCCAGCAATGGCCAGTTAAGTCTTCCTCTGACTCTGAAACCGTCTCTTCTGATTTTGTCTTCCACTTTTAAAGATGCTTGTGATTATGCTAGCCCCACTTGATGTTCCATGACAATCTTACCATCTTAAGCTCAGCTGACTAGCAACAATAATCCATCTGTAACCTTAATTTTCCCTTGTCATGTAACACACATTAACAGGTTCTGAGATGAGAACACAAGCAAACTTGGAGATATTACTCTGCCCATCATGCTGTGTTATATCTAACAATTAAGCAGGAATCTTTGCAGAAGGACGTTGATGAACTTTTGGTACCCAAAGAGCAAAGTGAACTGGTAAAGGGCTGCATGATCTATTGTTCATTAACTCTATTTCATTACATAACTTTTTTAATGAAGAACATTTATTAAGTGTTTCAAGGGACAGAACTAAAAAATACCACTGTTAGAAGTCAAAAAGAATGACTTGGGAAGAAGTAATCCTTCCAATTAAAGACCATGATAATAACATAACTCTAAATAGCATATGGAACTTGTTTTGCAGATACTTACAGGGTCCTCTTGAGATCGTGTTCCCTTAAACAAGACTGGGTGGAGGAGGTGGGAATGAGCTAGACATCTGTTCTGTGTTGTACAAGGGGCATGCTCTTGCCTGGGCCCTGCCATACTCCCCCTGATTGTGGAAGTCATGGGACATTAAAGCTGTCAGCAAACTTCGGAGTAATCTAACCTAAAGGCCTGGAGTATTAATTCATCCTATGTCATACAGCTAACACCGTATCTAAGGACAAACTAGATTTTCATATCCCTAAGTAAATATTCTTCCCCTCCTGTAAAGTTGCATCTTCCCAAAATGTAGAAAGTCAAGTCTCGTAAATTAAGTTGTTGGTAACTAAACCCTAAAGATATGATCTGTGTCTCTTCTAGGTATTAAGAAATAAAGGCTTTCATTATAAAGAAGTGCAATGTCATTCTGTTATTGGTTTCTTCCCTCAGAAGTCTCCGAGGAAGTCACAAGGAGATTTTAGATTTGGCTTCCCTGTCCATACTGACACTATAATAAAAAAGGAGATTAAGTCTCCAACCTTACCTCCTTGCCAAAGTCCCTTCAATGGACCTGCCTTTCATGAAGCAAGGAACCAAAATATACTACAGAAAGGATGAAATTAGACAGAGCTGATGCGGTGGGAAGTCCTTACATAAAAATGTGAACAAAAGGACCATTTTCTCCAAGGACGAGAAGGAAGGATAAATGACTTTGCTCTGAGCTTCAAGTGGGAAATTAATCTCCAGTGGACGTGACTCCACCAGGTCAGAAGGCATCTGTACAAGGTGTGCTATGAGAGGGAGGCCCGGCCCATCCAGTTCCCAACAAAGATTTCACAGTGGATTTGAAAACTTTAGAAGTTCTTAACAAATAACCTTTGCTATTTTAACAGTACATTTTTTAGATTTGTCATCTGTCTCACTGGTTGTTGATAAGCAGGTGCTTTGCAGAAGAAGAATATTAATCACATTATAAAAGTTTACATTTGGAAACAAAATCAGAAATATTATGAAAGTAATAGCCATCCGGAAGTTGAGGGAGATGGTTAGTTTTTGGATAGTTCTTACTCTTGGAATCGGGAAAAGACACAGAACATTCTATTTTTGAATATTTGGGGGTAAACTTACATGGAAAAGTAATACAGACCTTGTGAAAGACCACACACTCATTCAGATTAGCTTTACAGAACTTAGAGCTCATGTAATTAGTTTACACAAGTGGCCGCAGAGGGACTGCTCAGTTTCTAGTCATGGCCTGAACGCCCCTCGCTCACTAGAAGAAGACTTGTTCAGGGCTAAGCGCCTGGGTTTCAGCGATGACAGCCAGAACCCACCCCCAACAACACTTCAACAGTTAGAACTGGGTCTTGGGAAATTATGTGGACTACCAGATAAAGAGAGACTAAAGGTTGTTAATATGTTTGCTTGTTTTTTAATAAAACACAGAAGGAGACTACAGGCTCAGATTTCAATTTAAAACACTCTAACCTGCAGCAAAACCACATCATTCATCACTGGAACTTATCCAAATGACAAGTCAGAAAGACAAAGCATTAAAAAAGGAAAGGAAGGAAGGAGAAGAACCTGCCAACTCAGCAAGAGTTGACAGGTGTTCAAGGATTTAGGCTAATTAACTGACCACATGGTTGATGAATTAAGACAGAATTCTTGTTTGGAATGAAGTAAGCTCTCTATGCAGTTTGAGGTGGGTAGTGAGGAGCAGAAACAGGGGAAACATAATTGAGATTGAAATGAAAAGTAACAAAAAGCATTAATAAATGAAAAAAAGTTAAAGAGTAATGGGCAAGTGGGAAGTCCAGCCATTTAGTCGGTCATCCTGAAATAGAATACTATTTGGGTCTAAGACCTGAGTGACTTATAAGGCTGACAAAAATTGTATGATCTCCAAGTCTTTTACAGAAAACTATATATTTGAAAATGAGGATGAAAGCTGGACGCTAACAGACTGAAGATATATTTACCACCCTCCACACCCTAAGCCCGTGCTCTTTGAGACAAACTCTTCCTTCAGAAGGTAAAAACATTCAGACTGTCCAAGGGAAGGTTAACACAAACGCCCTCTCACAGGCTCACTGAAGCACTGTGGCGATGGGCGACACAGCTCAGGGAGGGATGAGCCAGCCCGGAAGCTTGGGACACAGCAAATCTGGCCCGCTCTGGACGTCCTTGCACTTCCTCTGGCCTCGGCAGCCCAGCCAAAACAGAAACAACTGTACCATTTCAGTTTTAGGGGACACACACCATCTGAAACCTGGGTCCTGACTCCGTTTCTGCCACTAGCCAACTTCGTCACCTGATAAAAGGCATAACTCTTTTGGACCTCTGTTCTCTTACCTGGAAAATAAGGCAGGCTGCACAAGAGGTAACTTCAACACTTAATAATCCTCTTCCGAAGCCTGTAGCGATCATTCTTAGACACTATATCGGCAAAGTAGGATGACTCACATCACACTGGGTAGCGATCAGCTCTATTGATGGCTGTGTCAACTGTTTTGATTCAAAAGTGTTTCCCATTAACAGAGTATCTGTTGCTACCGAGGGCAGCTTCTTCCCCTTCTGGCTCTCACTTGGCATTAGCCCCACCGATGACAGATCATTAGATTCCTTCACAATTATTAAATAAGCAGTTAACCCCTGAGGTTATGTGGTCTAGTGGAAAGAGCGTGGCACGGTGGAGCAGAGGCCCTGAAATCCAATTCCTGCCTTATTGCCATTGGATTTCACAGACATTAGAAAAGTCACTTGACTCTAGAAAGCAACCATAATTGATTTGTCTTCTTCATAACATTTTCAGGGTCAAAATACACATAACAGAGAGCAATTTGAAAGCACTGTATTTGGTAAACTTGAGTCTCAGGCCACAGACTGCTGTTTTCCAGGCTGTAACTTCATTTCTGCAAATTAATTTGGCTTCTGTTGTGAGCTCTCACTTGACTAGGTGTGAAAAGTTAACCTTCGTCAGTTCAGGTCGTTTCATATCTCAGCTGCATCTCTACCCACAATCCCAGAAGGGCTGCGTGGTGCCAACACAGGGTGGTCTTCATTTCTCACTTGTCCTTACTGACATCTGCCATGACTGTCCCCTTTTGCCCCCAGCTGGTTTCTGGCCAACAATCCCTCGAGGTCATCCCTCTTCATAACTTCAAAGTTGCTCCAAGGCAAAACGAGTAAAGGAGGAAGAGAACAAAAAAACAGCCAGAGAGTTAGGAGAAAAAAAAAGACTAACATTTTGAGATGTGTTATAGAGGACAGGGAAGAGAAAATACCATGAAAAATTGCATCAAAGACTTTAAGTGATTCAGGGAAGGCTAGAAGTAAAGAAGGACCAAAACAAAGCTATAGGTAACTTTTGCAAGAAGTTCCCTTTGAGTGGTAGAAATACAATCCTAACTGCAGAGGTAGAGAAGGAATACTAATAGCAAATGTGACACGTTCCTTTAGGCATATTTCTAAAAAAATGATTGATGGAAATGATCTTCACTTTGGGGGCTTCCCTGGTGGCTCAGTGGTAAAGAATATTCCTGTCAACGCAGGAGACACAAAAGATGCAGGTTCAGACCCTGGTTCGGGAAGATCCCCTGGAGAAGGAAATGGCAATACACTCCAATATTCTTACCTGGGAAATCCCATACACGGAGGAGTCTGGTGGGCTACAGTTCATGGGGTCGCAAAGAGTCAGACACAACTTAGTGACTGAGAACACACACGTTTTCACTTTGGAAAAGGATGAAAGCTGTATTCAAAGTCTTAATTTAGAGTGCAATAATTTGAGTACATGAAAGCAGACGACTTCACACACTGGTCAGCGAGACCTGGTCACTGAGTTATTAAAATCTTGCATTATCGATTTTATCTCCCTAAGCAAGATAAAATATTTAAGCCCACAATAATTAGGGCACGAATTCTCTGAAATAATAGTCTTAGGAGTAAATAGCCCTTGAAAATTGAATCCCTTCTGCTGCTATAACTACTTGAGGCAGTGGGATGCCAGTGAGGAATGAAATGGGCGCTATTTCCCACGGATGGGGGAGGGGGAGGTAAGTGGGGTTGCTGTGGTGGCTGTAACTTTTCACTTTGCAAGTTTTCATGAGACCAGCCTGATTCCTCCTAATGTAAAGAGTACCAAATAAAATCAAGTCGGTGACATAGGAGTGATCATTATCAGGGCATTTAATGCCAGACACATCCATCTTGGAGATGCACAGATTATGAGAACATTCCAACCTAAATTAGACTCCAAGGGCTGTGATATAGAGGAGGAAATAAGTAGGAACCACCATGACTTTCTTCTCTTTCCATATCGACCCACTAATCCCAATAAATACTTATTTTTAAAGTTTTGAATGTTCAATGTCAAGAGCATTCAATTCAGTTGGACAGTAGATTAGGTTAAAAAAAACCTTTGCTAAGTTTCATTTTCCCTCTCATTCTGCTTAGCTCAGGTAAGCAGTATAGGAGGGGGAAACCAGGCTTTGCCAATTCATGTCAAGTTGACTCAGTCTGTGACTCACAGGATAAATAGGACTCAAGTATGCTTACATATCATCTACACCCAGTGCATTATTTTCAGATGGATAAAATGAAGCTTGGGGAGGCCGTGTCTTACCCAAGATATCACAGTGAGTGGAGCCAGGGACAGAACTCAAATTTTCTAACATTAAGACCAAGAGTCAACAAATATTTACTAAGTTCTTAGTCTACACTAGACAATGTCCTAGCCACTGAGGATGAATAAAAATATCACCTGGGATATGGAAAATAAATTGATACTGGCACAACCACTTATAATAGCATCACAAATATGAAACACTTAGGTATAAGTCTAGCAAAATACGCTCCAGATCTCTGTGTTGAAAACTCCAAACACTGATAAAAGAAATCATAAAGGACCTTAGGAAATGGAATCACACACCAAGCCTGTGGATTAGAAGACTCAATAGAGTTAAGATGTCAATTCTCCCCAGTGGGCCTGGGGAGAGTCACTATCATCCCAGTCGAAATCTTAATAAGACTTTTGCAGATGTTGATAAACTGATTCTAAAATGTGTATGCAGAGGCAAAGGAACGAGAACGGGCACAATTTTTAAAAAGAATCAGAAAGTTGGAAGATTCACACAATCTGACTTCAAGACTCACTACAGAGCCGTGGAGGTGGCAGAACCACACACAGACCCACAGGACTGAATAGACAGTCTAGAAACAGACTCTCAAAAACATGGCCAAGTGATTTTGACAGATGCAAAGCAATTTCATGAGAAAAGAATAGCCTTTATAATACATGATACTGAAGCAATTCATACCTACCTATAAAAAAAAGAATTTTGATACATACATTGTATTATACTGTACATAAAAATTAACTCAAAATGGGTCTAAGACAGAGGCATAAAACCTAAAGCTCTAGAAGAAAACTGGTAAAATCTTTGTGACCTTGGGTTAAGCTAATCATTCAGAAAGAAGACCCTGAAAGTACAGTCTGGAAAATAAGCAACCTAATTAACAGTGAAAAACCACCAACTGCTGGACAACATACAAACTAGATCACCCACATGTTACTGGCAGAAGTACAAAACGTCAGTGCCCTCACGAAGATAATTTTTTAGTTTGTTTGTTTTTTTTAACTAAACACGCATTTACCATATTATCCAGTCATTGCACTGACCAGCATTCCTAGGAAAGTAAAATTCACGTTCACACAAAACCTATGTGTTAAAGCCCACAGCAGCTTTATTCATAAGAGCCAAAAGCTGGAAACAATCCAAATGTTCTTCTCTGGGTGGATGGTTAAAACTGCAGTACCTCCGCATCAGGAATACTACTCAGCAATAAAAGTGAATGAACTATTGATACACGCAGCCACTTTGGTAGAGTGCAAAGGATTTATACTGAGTGAAAAAAGATAATCTCAGAAGGTTACATACTGTATGAGTCCATTTATACTGCTACTGATACACATAACAACTCAGGTGGAACTCAAGAGAATTATGCTAAGACAACAAAAGCCAATTTCTTTCTTCACCGGGCTCTCAAGCAGGAAGCCAGAGTCTTCTTGCTGAAATCCGAGCAGCCCAAGTACGCATGTTCATTTGCTCAGTTGCGTCCAATTCTGCAACCCCTGGGATGATAGCACACCAGGCTCCTCTGTGCATGGTATATCCCAGGCAAGAATACTGGAGTGGGTTGCCGTTTCCTCCTCCAGGGGATCTTCCCGACCCAAGGATGGAACCTACACCTTCTGCATCTCCTGCACTGGCAGGCAGGTTCTCTACCCCTGAGCCACTTGGGAAGCCGAGAAGCCCAAGAGGCAAAACTGAGGCGTGGGTTCCCAACAAACTTCCAGTCAGATCTCTCTACACTGCAGTTCTCAGTCAGCATGCTCTATGTATGTCCTCAGAGCTTTTAAAGCAGCTCTCATCCCTGGCTCTTGATAAAAGTTGGCAAATAAGGATTGCCAATCGTCTGAGGAAAGTCTCTAACCCAAAAGACAGAAGGCTACAACAAAGTAAATAGAAAACAAGAACAAACTAGAAAAAAAAAAACCACAAGATTGCTTGGAGAAGACTTCTCACATATACATACACCAACAGAGTCAGAGATCACAAAATCCACGGCATACGGGGAATAAGAACAAGACGCTATCAAAACGGAGCATTCGGGGAACAAAACATAAACCTCAGAGCAGAAAACATGAAATCAGAAATGAATAAGTTAAGAGAAGAGTGGAAGATAAAGCCAAAGATGTGTACGTGTGTGTGTGCGTGCACATACATGTGTGTGTGTGCACATACATGTGTGTGTGTGTGTGTCTGAGAGAGAGGGAAGCAAAGAACAAAGAAACAGAAAAGAGGGGAGAAAAGAGAGAAAAATGAAAGAGTCAGTCCTTCCAACACATCCAGGAAAAGAAGATTAGAGAAAATGAGGGGCAGGAAGCCTTCAGTAAAATCATGCAAACAGAAGACATATAGTAATAGTTTTTTTTATGATACTAAGTAGAGTTCTTTGTGCTGTACAGTGGGACTTTCCTTTTTATCTGTTTTCCATATAGTAGTGTGTATCTGTTAATCCCAAACTCCTCACTCATCCCTACCCATCCCCTTCCTCTTTGGGTAAGCATAAGCTTGTTTTCTATATCTGTGTGTGTATTTCCGGAAAAGCATATTTTCATTGCAACAGTTTATAATATACTCTCAAGGGGGGAAATGCTATAGCAAGAATCTGTGAGAAACAACCACATCACAGAAAGCAGGATGTGAAGGGACGCCTGCTGAGCACACAGGGGTGACGACCCGCACGGTCGCTTCTGGAGAGCGCTGTCACTGTCCCGAGCGTCAGGCGAGGGGCAGGCCGAGTCACAGCCTCGCCCTCCTCGTCAGTCTTGTGCTCTCATCTTCTGCTTTAAAAAGCATGTCTCTCTAAGGCTTCTAATTTAAAGGTTCTGGGCGAGTTATGACAGTGGAATCCAGTGACTGATGGTGGCATTTTATTTTGTAGCAAAGGCCACTTTTAAGAAAGGAAAGGCACTACCCAGCTTTCAGCTTGAAAATATGCCGGGCTGCCTACCGCTCTGCTCCCGACGGACAGCTTGTGCGGCTCTCTGCTCTGAAGATGTCGTTTTCGATATCCAGGATTCTTACGACGACTCTGATGGTCCCTGCTGGCAGCTCTCTGCTGCTCTGAAGTGACGACCTGGAAACGGCGCCGCCCCCAGCGCCCTGGTTCCAGCGGCCTCATCAAGGAACGCAAGGCCGCTGCTGTGATGAAGGGATACAAGTTAGGCTAAGCAGCCAGGCCTCAGGAAGGCAGATCCACAAAACGTTTTCATTTTATCGCCACAGTAGCATTTAAATCTGATTTTTTGGAACAAATTATTCATGTGCAGCCAAGAGTCTGTTCTGTCTTATGCTCTGAATTACTTTTCTTCAATAAACATTCCTGGGAAGTGCAGGCACTGTTTCTTACTATTTGAAGCGGCATCATTGAGCAAAGACAGAGTAAAACCCAAGAGAAGCCCCTAGATTGGTGGATGGGCACTTCAGAGGTTAAAGTGACAGATCCATGTCACTCTCCCTCTTCAAAATCCTTTACCAACGGGAATTTGTTGTGTGGCTCAGAAAACTCAAACACGGGCTCTGTGTCAACCTAGAGGGGTGGGACGGGCGGGAGATAGGAGGGAGGTTCATAAGGGAGGGATATATGTACAGAAACCGGCACAGTACTGTAAAGCAATTATTCTTGTCAAATAAATTTTTAAAAATCCTTTGTCTTCCAAATTAAATGTATGTACGTATAATATGATATCACTGATACATGGAATCTAAAGATACGACACAAATGAACTTATTTATGACATAGAAACAGACCCACAGACATAGAAAGCAAATTTATGGTTACAAAGCTGACAGGAGGGATTAGTTAAGAGTTTGAGATGAAAACATACACACTACTATATATAAAATAGATAAACAACAGGACCTACTGTCTAGCACAGGGAACTAGACTCGCTTTCTTGTAATAACGTATGACAGAAAAGAATATGAAAAATATACATGTGTGTATACATACACATATATGCTCTGAGTCTTGCTTGAACCTAACCCGAAACTAATACGTTGTGAATCATATACTTCAATAAAAAATAAAATAAGTCCTTTGTCTTCAATTCCATTTTTCTCCGCCTTGTCCTCATTTCACTCTTTCCCGCTCAGGCTCTCACCCAAGCACAGCTTCCTAATGACTTTCACAGATTGCAAAAGTCTACAATTTACCTATTACAGATTTACATATTGCATTGACAATAATAAACAGATATAGTAAATACTCATAAAAAAATAGTGAGTTTCCAATATATCATATACTGTGCTAGAAACTGGAATTACTATGTTAACCAATGGAGAAGGAAATGGCAACCCCCTCCAGTGTTCTTGCCTGGAAAATTCCATGGATGGAGGAACTTGGTGGGCACTAGTCCATGGGATCGCCAAGAGTCAGACACGACTGAGTGACTAACACACACACACACACACGTTAACCAAAAAATATATATTTGTGGGGTTTGTTAGTAATGGGAATTAAAACTTGAAATTCCTGTGTCACTACTAATCCTTCCCTCCTTTCATCCATCTGTCCATCCATCACTTTGCTCCATGTCTGTATTCATTGCCCCTTATCCGTTCCCGTCACAAACACAGAGAACATAGGAAACAGTATTATTTTAACTGATATGTTCAGGAACCTGTAATGCCAAAGCCATCAAAATGCTAAAAATAGATGCCAGAGCTCCCTGTTCACAGTCAACAACAGCAGAAAGAAAAAAAAAAAGATTTTAAATTATCAAACCAATCAAAGAGTGCATTTCAAGCACCCAAGCTGGCTATCAGATTAGCTATAACTAGAATTTTTAAAGTGAGCCAAACACCTGTGCAAACTCCTCAGCACCTGTGTGTCCCCAGGCCCCACTCGTCTGGGAGTGAGCGAGTCACATTTATAGCAACGCAGTGGTTGTCTAACTCTTCCCTGGCCGACTGTTGAGTGTTTTCCAGGTCCCCTTAGACGCTCCCCGAGCCCTTCTGCTTGGCCCCCGACACGGCCGCTGGGACTGAAGAGCCGGGGGCTTGCAGCCAGCGCTCCCTGTTGTCCGGCTTCCGTCCTAGCTCCGCGGGGCGCGGTCAGCACGGCTCCCAGCCCCGCGCAGCCTGGGGATGTGCGATTTCAGCGACGCCGCCTCTGGGGACAGCTTCGTGCAGCGTTGTCCGAGGCCACGCGGTGCTCGGCTGCGCTTTGCTAAAGCCGCCCGATCTCCAATATGGCAAGCGGCCTCCCCGGCGGAGTGCCCACTGCCCTCAGCAGGGGAACGGAGAAAGGAGACAGCCTCCCCGCTCCTCTCCACTCAGTGTCCGCGTTAGCGGTTCAGAGTGCTGCCGCGCACAGAGGCCGCGCAGGAAACACGCCTGCTTTCTTTCTGGCGGATCTCCAAAACGCAGCGCCAGACTGCGTCGGCTGCAGAGTCAGCGCCAAGGCAGAGCCTCCCACCGCCCCCAACAAACCTAGAGCTTCAGGCCGGCGTGACTGGCACGGAGAGGCCTGGCAGGGCTGCGGACCAGGCTCCTGTCCCTCACTCGGACCGTCCCACCTTACACACCCATGCGTGCCCAGAGCAAGGGCTTGGAGAATGAGGGGAAGCCCGCGGCGGCCAGGACCGCTGCCCGAAGTCTTGCCCCGAAGACACAGCGGGATGCGCGACAGTAAACACGCGGAGCCTGTCAAGACATTCCCTCTGACCTGGCCGATTCTTCGCTCTGCCTGAGCTGAGTCAGAACTTGGGGTGCTTCCGCGAGGACACAGGAGGAAGCTCGGAGCTCCCTCTGCGAGGCCCACCAGGCAGCCCGGAGTTCAGGCGTATCCTTCCCACGGCTTGCTGAGGCCACGGGAAAGCAAAGGAGCAGTAACTCGGGACGAATGCAAACAATCAGTCCTGCTCATCTTAACTTTAGACTCACCCGTTTCTTATTGAAGTACAGTTGATTTATAATATTATATTCGTTTCCGGTATACAGCCTAGTAATTCAGGCTTTTCTTTAGATAACGGCTAGAATGCCCTCCGCTGTACAGTATACAGTTTATTATGTATTTTATGCATAGTCGTTTACATCTGCTCACCCCACACCCCTAATTTATCCTCCCCTACCCACTTCTCTCTCCTCTTTGGTCACCAAAATTTTTGTTTTCTACAGCTGTGTAGATTCACCTTTTGGCTGTGGTCTAGCTCTCAAGACCTTCTTGTGAGTATGGGTTGCAGGCCCTTCCCAGGATAAATGCATACAGACCAGGACGGATGCAGATGGGGTGTCACGTGTGAGCACCCCGCTCCCTAACAGATAAATGCCAGTGAACAAAGCTCTCCCTAATGAGATAGGCTCATCCACCTCCCTCAGCAAAAGAAAGAGAAACCAGAGGGTTTCTCAGTCCTGCCTGAGGGGGTTTGGAACAAAAGCTCATTCAATCCTCAAGCCCAAAATATACCAAGATAGGAGCTTGAGAAAAGAGGCATTAAGTGTTTTTCTCTACAGATTTCAGAAGAGTGAATGTGCCTTCTGAATCATTTCAAATTTTGGAGAAACTTCACTTTCAGTGTCATTGGCAGTCTCCTGCCTCGCTCTGAAACTCAAGGTCAATCCACACAGGCACTGGCTGAGGATGTTCTGCACAGTGTTTAAAATCACCTTCTCCCTGCCAGTGTTTAGGGGCTGTGGTTGTACCCACATACACATTCTCCCTGCTCAGGAGGAGTCATTCCCAAGAGGTCTCCTCTCATCCGTACAGATGGATTCCTGGTGATCCCACCCTTCCAGCCCTCCAGACGGACCTCAACACACCTAGGCTGAGCACAACCTTGGCTCTGCTGAAAGCAAGACCTGTCACTGACCTTTGTAGTCACGTATATTTACCTTTCTGCCCAGCTTACTAAACTGTTCACACTGCCTGAAGTATGTGTGCTTAGTCGCTCAGTTGTGTCTGACTCTCTGTGACCCCATAAACTTCCAGGCTCCTCTGTCCATGGGATTCTCCAGGCAAGAATACTGGAGTGGGTAACCATGCCTCCTCCAGGGGATCTCCCTGACCCAGGGACCGAGCCCAGGTCTCCCTCATTGCAGGTGAATTCTTTACGGGGAAGCCCTCCTGATGTGTACAAATGCCCTGTGAGCATATATACCTGTATTCGATCCAAATATAGGCCAAAGACTGAGGCCAAAGACTTCATGAAATTATAAACCTACACTAGCTTATGCAATCCTTTGTCCCCTCTGCTAGAAAATCAGCCCCAGTTACTTTCAAATTTCACATAGCTATGAGCCGGGGAAATGTCTTTCATGGGTCTAAGCCTAAATTCTAGACTGCTGCTTTATTTGGTTTTACTTTCATAATATAATTAGTAAAGCTTAGTGTGCTGCCTTTGGACTGAAATATTTGCATATTGTCTTCAAGGTGTCTATAATTACTGTATTTTTATATTTCTGAAATTATAAGGCCTTAGTTAAACTTATCAGTTAAAAAACAGCAAGCATTTTGACTAAAATTCTTTGCAGAGGAGTGAAAAAACACCCTAGAATTGAAGACTTTTCCCTAACCTGCTCAAGACAAAGTAAATTGAGTTTGGAACACAGAGGGAAAATGAAGTTCTAAAGGAATACCACATAAAGGGAACCAGATCTGGTACTTTGCAAAATAGTACTGCCATTGTGTTTAAATAAAAAAACGAGAAAATTGATTACATTAAATGTTCCTGGTCTTTGTGGTAAATTGCATCATTAGCTCCAAATTCTTTAAACCCACCCCCCTGTTTCCATACCTTTTTCTAAATTGTGCCAGTTCCAGCCTAGGTTTTAAAAGGTCTGAGTGTGTCTGCCTTCTTGTGTTTCTGCCATTTATGAGAAGTTCATGCCTGGCTTGCCTGCTAACCTCAAGCAAGGACGAGTTACTCGTGGAGCATAGCCATCCAGCTAAGCTGCTCCAATCCGCCAGCCTGGATCAACTAGCCCCCAGGCAACCCACAGACGTGTGAGTGAGTCTAGCCAAGATCAGCAAAGCTGACCAGCCAATCCCAGTCTAGATCTCCTGACTCCAGGCTGCCCAGCAGACACACAGGAGGAAAATAATGCTTTTTGTTACAGACCACTGAGGATACTTTTTTTTCTTATTTTGTTATTTGTTAATTTAACAATACTTTTTATTATTTTTAACCAATACCATCTAATTAATACGATGTATAAACTTGAAAAATATTGTTTAATTCCATTTAGAGATTTGTTCCTTTGGAAGAGTTAAATTCTAACTCTTCTTGAAATTAAAGTTGCTAGATAGAGCAAAACATTGGACTTTCAAACCAAAGCATGATAGAGTGATTGGATGCATATTTTACTCTGTATTTTAAAGTGTGTGTACACACACACACACACACACACACACACACACACACAATCTAATTGACCAGACAGAGATGAGAGAAAATAGAAATCAAGATACAAGGACAGCCCATTGACTTTTTAGTAGAATTTTGAGCAATAACGCCTTAGCCAACCTGACAGAGTTATAAGTGACTAGTAGCCTGGTTCCATCTTACAAAGTTCCAAAGGAAGCCTTTGTTCCACCTTACCAGCCATTCCACACACTCCAGTTCAGGAAAGGACCACTCATCTCTACATCGTGCAATCCCAGCGAGCTTCCTAGGAGGCAGAGGAACCGTGATAGCAACTCGGCAGCTGCCTTTAGCAATTTACTTTTAGCAGTGTAGTCACTTGCTAAACAAGGATTCCCTACAAAGACAAATCAACATCTATATCCCACCTTTTCAAACTGTTTCTATAAACCAGTATTTGGCATTAATCAGCAAGCGCCTTTCAAGCTTCTGAAATCGTATAAGAAGGCAGAGCTTCATTATCCTAATTTCTGTTCTTTCTTTTCTTGTCCAGGGTGAAATGAAACCACTCCATGGGTCTTCATGCTAGGAAATAATGGAAAATGATTTCTTTAAATTAAAGCAATTTATTAGTCTTATTTGCTAACAAGTTACCTTCAATTATTGAGAATATAAAACTAGTGAAAAGTGGTATTCCCTTGGTTTGTTTTAAATTAATTATTATCAACTCAGCTCTGTGGAGTTTATTAAGAAATTAAATCTTTATGAATATAAAATATACTTATAAGAGTAAAAAATGAGAAAGCTACTTTATTTGCCACGTAGCTGAGAATTTTATATTTAAATTCATTCAAAGTAGTTTTGAAGCAGTTTAAATTCTGCAGAATGTGAACATTCACTGACTCCTTCTTTAAGAGTTAGAATGACTCACTTCTAATAATAAAATAGATGACTGATGAGAACCTCTGTACAGCACAGGCAACTCTACTTCATGCTGTCTGGTGACCTAAATGGGAAGGGAATTTAAAAAGCAGTGGATGTGGGTATATGTATAACTGATGTACTTTGCTGTATAAAGAAACTGATACAACCTTGTAAAGCAACTATATTCCAATAAAAAAATAGAATTCCTACAGTCTTATTCATTGGGCATGATATGAGGATGTGTGTAAAATTTCATATAAACCTGGGAAAGTACCCCTTTGTCCTGAAAAGTCTGTTTTTTAATCATTCATTTACAAACAGTTCCTGAGAGCTGTCCTAGTCAGGTCCCCGCAGGAAACAGACGGCATCCTCACATCAGGAGGTTTGCAGGAGGGCCTCCTTTAACGGTCGGGGCGGGCTGAAGAGTGGGGCAGACGCGCTGGATCAAGCGTCAGACCTGCAGGGCCCCTAAACCCACGGAGGGGTCAGTGGCAGAGGACTGCCTTAGAGAAGCAGGGCTGCAAGCCGGAGGCCTCCGCATTGGCTCTCGGTAAAATGCGGCTGAACGCGACCTGCCTTTTCAACCCGTGTCTCGGTGCTAACTCAGATGCTGTCTGAGTTAGTAGGCAAGCATGCACACACTCCGCCTTCCCTCGCGTTTCCCTTAATCACAAGTGCTGGATTCAGCGCTCTCCAATTCTCCTTCCAGGGCTAACATTCTACACTCGATTTTCCCATTGGACCATCTGTTCCAATTCTGTGTTCAAGCCGGATCAAATACCCTACCTGAAAGCCAAATTCCTTTTTTTTTTTTTTTTTTTTGCTGTTTTTTTCTTCATAGTAGCGTGGAGGCTTCCTCTAGTTCCGGTGCTGGGCGTTCTCTAGCTGCGGTGCACAGGCCTACTTACCTCGGGGCAGGGGCCCCAAGTTCCCTGACCAGGGAAGTCCCATCAGTTTCATTCGCTTGACTTACCTTCCCCCACTTAAATAGCTTTATTTGACCCAGCCTAACGTCTTACTAACGGAGAAGGTGGGGTGCCACTGCACCCCTCTCCAGCACTCTTGCCTGGAAAATCCCATGGATGGAGGAGCCTGGTGGGCTGCAGTCCATGGGTCGCTAAGAGTCGGACACGACAGAGTGACTTCACTTTTCACTTTCATGCACTGGAGAAGGAGATGGCAGCCCACCCCAGTGTTCTTGCCCGGAGAA